ATGAGTTCTTGAGGAAATCATATTGATTTTAGGGTTGTGTTTGGGTAGATTCTTGTGTACATATATTAGGTATCTAAATCTAAAAAGAAATTGAGAAAAAAATTAGAAATTAGTCGAGTTAAGACCAGAAAACGAGAAGAAAAATTCATCAGGTTTACCTGGGAGAGCTGGTGCGACGTGCCACTCAGTCCTGGTGCGCCAAAAAGCAGTCTCTGAACTTCAGGGGCTAGCGCCCTACACCAGCAGTGCGTCCAGGTCGTCCGCCCCCACCCATTTTTCATCGTCTAGCCCGTCTAAGTCCTTTTAAAGTGTACTAACACTTCCTATCAATTTTAACTATTCTAAATGACTTCTAAACATCTAGAAATCATCCATAAACATGAATCATAACCTTGAATCCATAAGTTCAAATTCAAGGAAAATTAAGAGCCAAGTCTAGAGAGTTCTTAGAGTCTCTTCAAAAGTCTTTCACAAATGCTTTAAACTTGTTTTAAGACTTGAGTTTTTGAGTTAAGTAAAGAGTGAAGTTCATTTCTTCAAAAGAGTATATGGGGACTATGTATTCCCAAAGAGTAAATAATTTCACATTTAAACAAGAAAGGAAACACCGATTTCCAAAAGAGCCTTTAAGCTAGTTTTCAGTAATAAATGCTTTCACAATTAAGCAAGAAAGGAAACACTGATTTTCAAGAGAGCCTTTGGGCTAGTTTTTGAGCAATTATCTCAAATCACAGAAAGAGTTATGTTTTTAAACATATGAGCTTGTATATTTTTGGAGTAGTATTGAGCACCGATATAGGGGAGAGTTCAGACAACTCCCAGCCCCCATAAACCATGTAGCTATCATGGGTAGAAAAAGGTCATACTGATTTCTTAGTGCTTTTTAGCATAGACTAGTGGATCCACTTAATAGTTAGGTTCTATACCCCTGACAAGGTATAAGACGGCCCGGGTAGCGTGAGGCAAAACGATGTATCATCACATAGCTCTTAAGTGATGGTTGGCAGTTAGAGAAACTCCCACGGAAGTATTTTGTATTCTTATATACACAATGTTAATTGTATTTTTATATACAATCAGAGTTTATATTGTATCCTTGCATACAAACTGAGTCACTATTGTATTTCTCAATACACAGAATTGTTATCCATGTTTTAAAATTTTTTCTTTATATTGCATTCATATTATTGCTTTATATTGAAATGAGTTAAGTTGAGCCCATGTATGTTCTTTCAGTTCCTTTCAAGCTTATGTCTTCTTTTAGAATTTCCCTCGCATGCTCGTATATTCAATGTATTGATGCTAGTTGACCTGCATCTTTTTATGATGTAGATATAGGTAACCAGGATCAGCATCAAGTGCATCGTTGATTCTAGTTGAGCTTCAGAGTTGTTGGTGAGCCTCTTTGCTTCCGGAGGACCCCTTTTATAACTTTATCATTTTAGTTCATTAGGATGTCGTGGGTCTTGTCTCGACGTCCATCTCAGTTGTTAGAGGCTTCATAGACAGTTAGTTGATAGTTCTTGAGTCTTTCCATTTTTGTTTTGATGTTTGAGACTTGAGTGTCATTTTGGCTAGTGAATGTCTCTATATACCTTCTAAGTTATCTATTGAGATTTTTGTTTACTTTTTATAGTATTTTTATCATGAGTAAGTCTTCCGCTAAGAGTTAAGTCAGGCCAAGGGTTCGCTTAGAGCCATCAATGGTTCTCAAGTACCAATCCCGCCCAGGGTGTAGGCTCGGGGCGTGACAATCTATTAATTAGCAAAGTTGAATGTATTAGTTTTTCTTCCAAGTGTTTAGTAATGGCTATGTAAAAATGTCTAAATATCTTGATTTGAGTGTCCTGTTCTGCATTAGTGTGATTTATATTTTAACTAGTAGATGTGATGTGTAGCATTTACTTAGCTCTACTTAACTTATTTTAATACCTCATTTAGAATGAAGTTATCTTGCTAAGTCTCTTTACTTTTTCACTTGCATGAACCTTGCAAGCAAAAATGGAGTCTTTGATTCAGTCTTCACTAAATCTTAGACTATCCAAATAGCAAAAAAAACCAAGTGAAACTCATCTGGGATTGTTTATATGGCTGCTTATATTACTATTTCCTTTTAGCATTTATTTGTTTTAGTTACTTGCTTATGTGTTTTGGATATGTGTTAGTTTATACTTTTGTTTTTATTAGTGATAATTAATAGGGGTTAGACGATTAGACTATGACATCGTTAATCTAGTTATTAACACTTTTCTTATCGTACCTAGCAATATCTTTCAACTTCCAATATAAAGAGCAACATTTGTTTAACTTCAAGTTTATTTTAAATGTTTTCCAAGTACATTTACTTACTTGAGAGACAATCTTTTTTAATTAAGCAAAGGGTCTCCTATTAATTTACTTCAAGAATTTTTCAAGTTTAAAATGTTTCACCGATTTCAAGACTTAATAAATGTTTTTAAAAAAAAAGCAATTTCATCGATTTTATTTAACATTTTAGCACCCATATTTAGTGTTTATTTTAAAAAATAATTAACCTAAGTTTGGCCAGTTAACTATTTTTAGCAGATCTTAAAGAATGTCTTACACCTTTCCTTTAGGATAATTTAGAATCCTTACCTAAAATCGCATAAGGTTAAATAGATCTTAATATAGAGTTAATTCAACATAACTTTTAGCAAAATAGGTGTCATAGTTCACCTTTAAAATAATTAGGTGGCGACTCTTTAAAAAGGTATAAAAATGACTAATATGGTGTACACCATTTGGACTTCGAGTTAAAATGGGGTATAACAGCTTGACGACTCCGCTGGGGACTTTAGGTTCTAAACCATAACAAACTTAGGTTAATAATTAATGCTTCAACTTTGCTTATTTTATTTTAGATGTTTGTTTTATTTTAATTGCCTAATCCATTATTTTTTTCATGCTTATGTGATATAAATTATTTATTTGTTACCGCTTTATATAAATAGTTTATTTGTTATTGCTTCATATAAACGGTTATTACGTTCATAATTCCTTCAATTTTGGAATATTTACACTATCACGCGTACACGCGAGGTGTGCCTTGCACACTCTCAAATTTATTTCAAAATCCCAAAAGTTAGGAGAGTTGGCGCATGCAAGAGGTGTCCGAATCTATTCCCGTGTGATCGCATAGCCTTGTCACTCGAGTGGTCCACTCGGAAATCTTGTGTCTGGCAAATCAACTCTTATTCAACATAGAATAGAGCTAAACTAACACCTTTTAAGGAACATGCATTATGCAAACCTAAGAATTTTAATACCCACGGTGTATTAAGACCATTAGTTTGTCTTGTCAAATGTCCAAGCAGGGTTCATGACCCAAGTGACACCTTATAATAATGTATGTATTTGAAGGATAATTATGACTAAATACCAATTTTTCCCCTTAAATAATTAAACTTTGGTAGGATTGTATAGGTTAACCATTTGTCTCACAGTTCATATGACCGTCAAGATCCCAAACTTTGATGGATATATGACTGATCCAAATGACTTCAACAAAGGCGACGACAGTCAAGGCACAACAATATTTTAAACTTAGTTTACTAGGTTTATTTTTATTATACAAGGGGTAATGAAGTTATAAAGTTTTTGTTTAATTATTTAAGAGCTATAAAATGACTTGCGGATGAGAAAATCAATTTTGGACCAATTTGTAACACCAATTTGAGAAACCTCTCTCTCTTTCCCATTCTTTCTCTCTCTAAAATTTTCATGATTAATTTATAATTTGAGTTTTTGATTTTGATTCTTCATGGGTTTTAGGAGAAGATGTAGTATCCCTCTTTTAAAAATGTAGAAGAAATTATTTTTTTGTTAGTTACTTCTAATAAGCTTGTAAATATTTTTTAATTATACAATTACTTCACTTTGATTTTGTTATTTTTGAGTCCATGACTTTAAAAAAATCAAATTAATAGGTATGTTTTTTTTTAAAAAAAAAATTAATTTGTTAGATATGTTCTAAATAAGTCAATTGAAAAATTATTTATTCATAAAATACATTAGTTCTTGATAATTTTTATCCAAACATCTATTGATAAAGCTTCAGCAACGATAATGATGAAGACAATATAGTTGTATATAGCTAAAATAAGAAGAAAGAAAGAGAAAGAAAAAAAATGAGAAAAATAAAATAAAATAGGCAACTCACTCTCTCAAAGAGAGTGAAACTCTATATGCCAAGTCAGCATTTAAGGGATTATTTATTTAATTTTGAAGTAGTTTGGGGGTAATAGGATTCCCCAGGAGTATAAATATGTAGTTGGAAATCCGGTAATAGGCTAGGATGTTGTTGAGCATTTTTTTTTTTTTTTTTGAACTTTTATACACTTGTAAAACAAATTATAATTATTAAATTATTATACTGCAAAATATATGAAATCATAACAAATTAATTAGTATATAATATTTTTAAAAACCAAAAAAATAAAATAAAATTACTGAACCTAAATTATCAAAATACCGTAACCAACATAGTGAGTAGTGGAGTATTATTTTTGGGGTAAAATTTATCCGCACCGGGTGTATACATCGAGCCAATACATGCATGTAATGTATTTAAATTTATAATTTATTTTACTTAATCATAATTAATTAACATATATTCTACTTCATTAAATCATGTAATAATAAAAATTATATTAATTTGATATAAACACCCGATGCAGATAATTTGTTTTCTTATTTTTGTGTCTTCATTTCATTGGTTTCTTAGTGAGGGGTTAATGCAATTGCAAGGAAACTGCAAAAGTATACACCTAAAAGAATCACAAAATAGACATTTTTGTCCTATTTATTTTTAAAAAAAGCCACTCTAAGCATTCAAACTATTGACCACTAATATAATGCCACATCAGCTCAAATGAGATGGCAGTAGTCAGATCTGCAAATATACGAAAATTAAAGGGCCTTTAAGAGCAAATACGTGGTGCTATTTGAATCACAATCCCTTTAGTGAACAAAATCTTCTCTCTCTCTCTCTCAAAACCCAAACCTAAACCCTCTTTTTATTTCTTTTTTCTCTCTCTCTCTACTTGTGTGGCGGCTGAAACTCTCTCGAACCCATCTCCTCTTCTAGGGTTTCTATCTCCTTCCTTAAACCCTCTTCATCTTCAGGGTTTTACAGCTTCTCCTGTTGAAGATCTAGCTCGGAATGGCTGCTGGTGCTCCTCCTGCTGATCGTATCCTTACCATATCTACTTTTATATGGGTATTCATTGCTTTTCTTTGTTTTTTCCTGTTAAAATCTAATCAACCCAAGTTTTCTTTTTATATATGAGGAGATTCATATACAGTAGATATATGTATGTCCGTGTTGATGTGGTAGGTTTTTATTTTTATCTGATTCTATTCGGCTTCGGTAGATCTGAGGTTGTCAAATCTGTTGCTGTTGGCTGCTTGATTTGTGTTTCTCTTTCTTTTTTTAATCATGTAGAGCGATGTTTGTGTTTTTCTTATACAGAACCTTGTTTTTTTTGGGCTTTTCTATATGGGATTCAATTGTTTTGTTTCTTCGTTTGTTGGTATATTCAACTTATACTTGTTGGCGGGTTAGCTCTTTGGTGATATACGACTCTTTTTTACGGATTTATTTTGGTTCAAAAAGTTATGTGCTAATTTGTTTAATTATTTGAAATGGCGGAATTGAAGTGTTATAAGCTAATTTGTGTGAATTTATTATTTATTAAGTAGTACATAATTTGAAAAGTCATGCTTTGTTCAGTCCAAATTTGATTGGTATTATTGGATTTTGTTTCTCTTGGTTTAGTTGTTAGTCACTTCTTTTGGGAAATTGTGGAGAATGTTTTTGTTTTTCTTTTACTGTTACGCCGTAGAAGCTGCAGATTTGCTGCAGAATTTGTCATTGGATTCTCGGAGTAAGACCCTTGAAATTGCAGACGCAAAAAAGAAAGTAAGTTTTCTTTAATCATCTATCTAAATGATTGATTTCATTCAATTGGTCTACAGTTCCTAATTGGAAATTTTGATTCTTTTTCAGCCTTCTGGGAACCCTACACATGGGGCAAACGGTCAGGTTCAGTCGACAGATCGGTCTGTGACACCTGTGTTGCCGGAATTCATGGATCCAAATTTGTGCTATGTTCCTAACAGTTATACCTCAACAGCATACTATTATGGTATGCTAATTTCAGCTTCACTTCGTGTCAGTGTTAGAACAACATATTAAGTACTTTTGCTATGATTTATAAAATAAAGTACTTCTATTTAGATAAATAATGTCTTATTTATTTATTTATTATTTTTAGCATATGATAGTGTGCTTTTTACTAACATATTTTCGTATCTGCTGTAGGATATGATGCTTCTGCTAATGAGTGGGAGGACTATGCACGATATGCGAATCCGGAAGGAGTTGAGATGCCTGTAAATTATTCTGCTTGAACTCTTGCTACAATATTTGATGTGTTAAATCTTTTTTCCTGTATTGCCATTTTGGTGTAATGAGATACTTTGTTGCTGTCCTGACTTGCTTCTTTCTAGATCAATCAGATATTATTTTTTTCTTTTTTTTTTGTGCATGTTTGTGGTTTTGATTTAATTGAAATGCAGGGAGTTTATGGAGACAACAGCTCACTTATCTATCATCATGCCTATGGATATGCACCCTATAGTCCATATTCACCTGCTACTTCGCCTGTCCCTACTGTGGGGCATGATGGACAACTTTATGGATCGCAACAATATCACTATCCGTATTTCCAGCCACTCCCCCTGACCAGTACTTCAAACACTACTTCAGCTGCCCTGCCAAAAGGTGAGATTGCCACCTCTGCAGCAGCTGCTGACCAAGCATCATTATCTGTGGATTCTGCTAAAGGTAACTCTAATGTCGTTGCAAATGGTGGTGTAAAGGGAAATACTGGGCATATGCCTGTGAGGCCTGCATTCCAGAATTCATCCTTAAATGCTAATGGTTCTTATGGACCTGGCACATTGCCTGGAGGAGCTGCTTCAGGTTATCAGGACCCTAGACTGGGTTTTGATGGTGTGCATTCTCCCATTCCATGGATTGATGGGTCAATGTTCACTGATGGGCAAGCTAGGCCAGTGGCGAACAATTCTTTTACGCCATCATTTTCTAATGGCTACGCTGCTCCATCAACAAAGAATCAGAATGTTCATCCACATGTAATGGTATGTTATTCGAGAGTATTGATCTGTTCTTTTTCTTCCTACATTTACAGTCTCCTTTAGATACTTGTAGTAGTTACTCCAGTATACGTGTTTAAGGCAATTACTTGTTGATACTGATTCTACTGTTTTATTGTCAGGGCATGCACCACCCAAGGCCTTCATCTGGCGTGAACACAACTAATGGGTATATGAATAGGATGTATCCCAACAAATATTATGGGCAGTTTGGGAACACATTCAATTCTGGCATGGGGTTTGGGCCTAACCGGTATGATACTCGCGCTACAGGTCGTGGGTGGATGACAGTTGATAACAGGTCTAAACCCAGGGGTAGAGGAAATAGTTTCTATGGCTATGGCAATGAAAACATGGATGGTTTAAATGAGCTCAACAGGGGACCGAGAGGTAAAGGATCCAAGAATCAGAAGAGTTTTACACCAGTTGCTCTGGCAGTCAAGGGGCAGAACATCCCCCTTGCTGTAACCAAAGATGCTGAGGAAGTTAAATCAAGCCTGATTCCTGACAGAGAACAATACAACCATCCAGATTTTTCAGTGACATATGCTGATGCCAAGTTCTTTATCATTAAGTCTTACAGTGAAGATGATGTGCACAAAAGCATCAAATATAATGTGTGGGCTAGCACACCAAATGGCAACAAGAAGCTTGATGCTGCTTACCAAGAGGCTCAACAAAATTCTGGAGGCTGCCCAGTTTTTCTTTTCTTCTCAGTGAGCTTTCTTCGATACATTGCTCTAGCCTTTTTTGTTAATTCTGGTCATACATGAAAATACATATGATCATTTTTTTTTTTTTAATTCACATCCTCATGATTGCTCATTTTTTGGTCATTTTATCCAGGTAAATACAAGTGGACAGTTTGTTGGTGTTGCAGAGATGGTAGGGCCAGTTGATTTCAACAAGAATGTGGAGTATTGGCAGCAAGACAAGTGGGTCGGCTGTTTTCCTGTCAAGTGGCACATTGTGAAGGATGTACCAAATAGCTTGTTGAAACACATCACACTGGAAAACAACGAGAACAAGCCTGTTACGAACAGCAGAGATACTCAGGAGGTATGTGACTGGTTTTAATATTGTGAAAGAAGGGTAGTGTTTTTTGGGCGTGGTGTATAGTCTGTCCTTGTTAATTTGACTGTTGTATAAATGTCAATAGCAAGTCTTTACCAGCTGTTTCTCTGTTTGGTACAGGTTAAAGTGGAGCAGGGTCTGCAAGTGCTCAAGATATTTAAGGATCATATTAGCAAACAGTGCATCCTTGATGATTTTGAGTTCTATGAGGATCGTCAGAAGAGAATTCAGGATAAGAAGGCCAAGCAACAGCTATTCCAGAAGCAGGTAGCTTCTATGTGCTTGGATTGTTTGCTATCAGATGAATTTGAAAAAGAACATGATGGGGTGCTTTCATTTGGGCATTTGACAGTACTTAATGTCTTCATAACTTGATCTCTTTTTGGTAGTAAAATATGGGTTTTTTTTTGGTTGTGTCAGTCTCAGGTATGGGAAGGTAAAGCTACTGAAGAAAAGAACAGAGATAATTCAAAGGTTGACCTCAAGTCACAGAAACCTTCAGAAGTTTCTGCTTGTTTGAACAAAGAAAATTTACCGGCTGCTGCCCAGACTACCACTGTGGAAGTCAAGCTTACCGAAACTGTACCAGTTACAAAATCAGGAGATGATGTGAAGGATGCTAAACCAGTCACTGTATCAGAAAAGAAACCTGTAGCAAATGGGGCTTCTAATGGGTGCTAACTTCAGCTAATGAAAGGGTGGTCTGTGGTTAAGAGGTCCTAGATTGGAGCTTTATGACTACATGATATGCACATGAGTGGTGCTTGGTTAGATCTCATAACCATGGCTTCCCTTGTTATATCCGAGCAGCATTTGGAGTTGGTTGTTGCTGGAAATAAGTTCTCAGAGAAAATTCAATATTTGGCAGGAAGTCTAGAGTCATCTGTTTCTAGAAGAGTTGGGAAAGTATGGAAGCCCCATTTTCCCTCGTGGGACAGTTTCTTGGTGTTTTAGCTTTGATTAGTTTCAGACCTTGGTTTGGGTTTATGAATTTTTTTTGTTTCTTTCGTCTTGTGGCTTATTTTAGGCAATTACCTTTTTCCTTGTCAAGTTACATGGGTTTTAGATGAGGGTTTTTGTTATATTAGTCTATCTTATCAATCTGTTGTGGCAGTTTAGCATTGCTTCCCCCCCTTAAAACTAATGGATAGAGCTAGAAACGAGGTCGGAGTATATTAAACTTTCAGGAAGCTGTTAATGCTCGTTGGTTCTTTTTCTCTTAATTCATTTTTACTGCAACATCAATCGTGTTAATTGTGTTTCGTGATTGTCCTGTTATTAACTAGGATGTATGTGAAAAGTTGTCATCCTAGAAGAAAATTATAGTTTCTGTGGCAAGTTATAAAAATTTACTTGTTTTCTTCCCAAGAAAATGACATAAATGGTCCCTAAACTATCACAGTAGGTCTAAAATTGTTCTTTAGCTATCCATCCTTTTATCAAGTTTGATCTATATCACTTTTTATATTAACAAACACCGTTAACATACATGATTGAATTCTGTCTCCTTTCTATTTTCCACCTCTTTTTCTCCATTATCTCATTGTTTCCTCACTTTCTTTTTTCTAATTTTTCTCCATTGACTTTCTTTTTTGTCATTTTCTTTGTCTATTATTTCACTATTTCCTCACTTTTTTTTTCCAGTTCTTTTCTTCATTGTCTGTAATTATGTCGTTGATCGTTATTTCATGCGAGTTAAAGCATAATGCAAAGTAATGAACACAATTGAGAAAATATTATTCTATTTTTATGTTAATAATTGGTCATTACATCAATGAAACTGCATAAAATTGCAGAAAAGTTCAAAAATCAGCAACTAAATTGAACTATAGTGCTCTGTTTTCAATAGTTTTGTGCAGAAAATAGCTTAAGCTACAAAAAAAAAGTAGCAGTTATCAAACTTCGATCAAATTGCAGCACCAAAACACCCAATCTGAAAACTGCAAAATCAACACCAAACTATACATAACACAGCACTAGACAGCAACATCAAACCACCAAAAAAATAGCACCAAACTGCACAAAACACATCTCCAAAAACGTCACCAAGCTGCACAAAACACAGCTCCAAAAACGTCACCAAACTGCACAAAAACAGCTCCAAAAACGTCACCAAACTGCGCAAAAAACAGCACCAAACTGTTGCACAGACAGCAGCACCCAACCACCAAAAATCAGCACCAAACTACACAAAAACTAGCATAGAAACCGCGTCAAACTGGCCAAAATCTAGATTCTAGGATTTTCTTACCTGTAGCGACAATGAAGAAAATAGGAGGGAAAAAGAAAATCAAGAGAGAAAGTACTGAAAGACGGTGTTTGTTAACGTGGATATAAAAAGTGAATAGAAACCAAACTTGACAAAAGGGTGGATAGTTAAAGGACTATATCCGTCAAATATAAAGTTAAAGGACTATTTTAGATCTATTGTGATAGTTTAGGAACCATTTATGCCATTTTCTCTTTTCTTCCCTAAGTGTTTTTGAGAAATATTTTGTCAAGTGGATAGTTCGTGTTTGGTTAATTTGTTTTTGTTGCTTATATTAGAGGTTAGCCAAGTTTCTGAAAACTGAATAATTAATTATTTTTCTTTATTTTTGTTTTGGTTGCTGATATTAGATGTTAGCCAAGTTTCTGGAAACTGAATAGTGGTTGCAGGATAAAGTACTTTTTTTCATTCTCTAAATAACAACAAATACTGCTATCTATAATTTAAAAGTTTTTTATATATTTCGTCCTACCATACTCTAAGCGAGATATTTTTTTTTAGTATGAAATTGAATTACAAAATTATTCATTAAAAGTTTGAAGACTGTTTTAGGTGTTTTCATTGAAAAAAAGTAACTTCATGCCAATTAATATTTAGTTATATTTCTTCTGTCTCAAACAATTTTTCCTAGAAAGTGTTTTTTTCTTCTCTTTTCACGGTTAGTTTTCAATTCCAATTTTTTATTTGACAAATTTAAAATTCTACGGTTTGAAGGATTATATACTCTTAGTTTGAGATCACAATTTTTTTTTTTTTTTGAATTCCATATGGAACTAAAAGGACATATATAAATTGAGACGAAGAAAGTAGCTATTGTGATCATGATTAATTGATATTCTATTAAGTGATAAGTTGTTGCACTAAATATGACATCTCAAAAGAATATTATCGTCTTCGTTTTCCCTCCCAATAAATTGAAATGCCAACTTTTAGTTTACCTTAATTCTATCTAAAGATAAGTATGACATGTGATGAGAGTTTGTGACTTTTAAGTAAAGGGTATAAGATCGAATCGAAAATCAAATCAAATCTCAAATTGAGTTAAATAAAAAATAACTTGACTAATGGTTTGGTATTAGAAAAGATATCCAATTATATTTGAGTTGGTTTGTTTTTAACTAAAAAAAGTTAACTCGAGATCAATCCAATCCGACATTATATATATATAATTTTTAAATTTATTTTATACATAAAAATATTTACTTTGATACAATTTCTAAATACTTCTTATACTTTTTCATAATTTTTATCTTTTAACATATTATTTCAAGTTTTTTAGACTTGAAATTTTGAATGGTCCAATAAAAGCTATAGCCCCTAAATATTAGTAACTCTAATAAAGTTTGAATCAAAATCAAATCAATATTAATGCTAACAAAAAAATTTAATTCAACACTAAGAATGACAATAATGTTGAAAATTGACACATATGGTTCCGAATCCAAGTTAGGTACAACTAAGAGACGTCCTACTGAGTTTTGATAGTCCTATTAGGGGTCTTTTGGTAGAGCGTATTAGCAAAAATAATGCGTGCATTAACTTTATGTATTAGAAGTGCCTTGTTTGGTGTACTTTTTCATGCTATGTATATGCATTTGTCCTTCTATACAAGGCTATGTGTGTATATACACAATAGGATGTCTCTTATATTACAGTAGTACAATCCAAATAAGATATAAAAAAAGTATAACACTAAGGGGCCGTTTGGTAGTGTATAAAAATAATGTTTTATAGAGTGTATTAGCAATGCTTGTATTAGTTATGCTTGTATTAGTTATGCTTGCATTAGTTATACATATATTTTTTATGCATTATTTGGTTTGGTGTATAAAAAATAGCATGCGTTGTATAAAAATATTTATTTACAAAAATATCCTCCATAATTATGGTGAAAAAGATGTAAAAGGGATTTTGAGGGGTATGTATCTTTAAAATACTAATGCATGCATTAAATCCCTTTGCATTACTAATACCTAGAAATTCATGGTATTAATTACCCCTTGAACTTGTGCTGAAAAGTAAGTTACACGCTCAAACTATTGTGGCGACCTATTACACACCTAATCTTGTTCAAAGTGATATTAATACCCCCTTCCGAAGACAATCTCAGTTGTGTGTAAAAAAAAGTGTTATACACGCGTTTCATATATAAATAATATTTATTTTAACTTTTTAAAACCTTTATCTCTTGATATTTTCTTAAACTTTTGCAAAAGAATAAAGATTTGGGCATCTTCCTCATCTCACCATACATTTCTCTTTTTAAAATCTATTTCTTCTTCTTCTCCATTGTTCATAAATTGAAGGAAAAATAAAATTTTGAAGAGAAAATAGTAGTCAGTAAGTCAATTATGAAGTTAAGAGATGTTGGCAGCGACGATAGGCGATGGGCAACACCATTATTGTCGGTGGAGCAAATAAAATTTTCAGATCTGTAAAATTCTTTAAAAATCTTGATAACTAGTATGTAAATCAAGCATTTCATTAGTATTCTTTGTGTGTAATGATTAATCAAATATGCTATTGTTGATTTGAGATATAAAAATGATATTGTGGTGGTTGCAGGTAGTGCTCCGACGAGAATAGAGAAGACAAAGATGGAGAACTCATTTTCTTCGATGAGCTTTTGATAAGTTTAGGTAATGTAATCATGAATTTTATGCATTAATGTTATAAGATTTTCAATAGAAATCATTATCTTTCTCGTGATTAGTTTTTGGTAATCTTCTCTGGTGAATCCTCCGATGAGTTCGAACGGAAAAATCATGAATTTTAAGTTGAAAATTATTAACTTTTCTTTGGAAGTCACCATGTTCTCCACTCCTTTCTATTTCCTTTTAGAGTTCCTCTTTAAGGGTAGAGTGTTGGATGTGCTTCCATCAAACAATCAATGGTGACAAATGTTGTGATTCCTTAAGCAACACCGACTCAATAACATTGGGGGACTAAAGCGGACTTAAGAGAGGGCCCCTACTATTTTATTTTTTTCATCATATGTACTTTTATTTTAAATCTACTTTTCTAGCTATTATAAATGCGAAGTCATTATGTACTAATTTATAATCAATTTGTTTTAATAATTCCTTTTCGAATGATAATATAGCTAATTCATTCAATCTCTCTTGAGACATTGTTGATCTTAAAGAAGATTTAATCAATTTTAATTTCAAAAAAATTTCTTTCGGATGAGGCTACAGTTACATTAAATATTAACATTATTCTATAAGCAATATGCATATTTGGAAAAGAATCAAGTCTTTTTGTTTGATTGAGAATTTTCATTAGATCATTATCTTCTACTTGTATTATTTCTCTAAACACTTTTAATTCAAAAAATAACTCTAAACCATCAATATCAGAATAACTATTATGTGTTAAAGAAAGTTCAACGTTAAGAAAATATTTTTTAAAATTCTAATCATCTAGTGATCTCAATAATTTACCACTAAATAAGAAATCAAAAATATTTTCATATGCTTCAATTGGTTCAAATCTATTTTGAAGTGAAAAAGTAGTTTGATCTACTCTACATACATAAAGTAATCAACTCTAAAAGATTCTTCAAGGGACTTTGTGATTTCATTATCCATATTTTCATCAAATTGTTCCTTATGAAATTCAGGTTTATATTTATCTCATATGCAATTTCCTTAGTAGAAATTATAGCACTCATAGTATATATATATATATATATATATATATATATATATATATATATATACATTTTTTCTAATATATTATTTGTTTCTAATATATATATATATCATGACTATTAATATAATTTAGGAGTAATGAAAGTAAAGATTATTAAGTTTTTATATTAAAGAACATGAACAAATGAAGG